ATATATTAACTGCTTGAAAAATATAATAAAGAAAAAAGTTGATCACAAATTAATGTAAAATCTGTTCTGACAGATTCTGAGCAGAGTTGAGTCTAATTATTTTGATCAAAACTAAAATGAACAATTCAAAATCATATTAGATAATATACTTTTGTACCCATTTTATTATTTTTTAATTTCCTAATCTTCAATATTTGTGTTTTTGGTTTAAATAAAAGCAAACCAGTCATGCTTTTAAACTGTATAACTCGGTAATGCTTTCTTTTACGGCACCCTTATTACCATGTAATTAAAAGGTAATAAAAATGTAATTAAATGTAATTACTACCTTATTACCATGTAATTACAAGGTAATAAAAAGTGTAATTAAATGTAATTACTACCTTATTACCATGTAATTACGTGGTAATTATGGCGCAATTTTACTATGTAATTAATTGTCTGCAGTAATATAGCACTTACCTGGTAAGGTATTACAATTCACTATGTAACACATAATAAGTAGGTAATTTGGACAGTTTTAAAGTTATATTTCATTGCAATTAACCAGTAACCCCAAAATTTAGTTGCATTCTTTTGGTTATAAATATAGTGTTGAGTTACTATTGAATAGTAATTTGATTGTAGTTATCCAATAACCAATACCCAATACTAACAGTAGTTTTTCTTTTGTACCATAATTACATGGTAATAATCACATTTAATTACCATTTTTTATTACCACGTGGTAATAAGGGTACCGTAAAAGAAAGCTTTATCTACAACTCCATGTTACTCTTCTGTCAGAGTTTTATCCAGTATCTCCTCTGAAACATAATTCATTAATATCCAGGCTTTTATAAGACTTTGAGCGCAACAGAAACAGAACAAACACAACAAAAATGTGCCTAACTACTTTCTGTTCATTTCTATAAACAAATTTCTTTGAGTTGTCCACATCTGTACATCTCCTTGTGAATAAATGAGAAAAAATCCAAACCCCTGAAGATCAGCTTCAGCACACACTCCTAAACATACATGTTACCTAACTGATGCCTCGACACGAGGCAAGAATTCATCTGAGAAGATTGTGTATTTGGAATAATTGAAAAGAAAGCTGCAGCTGGTGTGCTGCTCAGTTGTTATGCAGCTAAATAGTCAGCTCTTATTTTTGGTCATTTTAACAAGTCTGCACTCTCGGTACACCGATCCCCCGGTGGGCCACGAACTCCCCATGCTCCTCTCAGTTTGTATTATGTGTAATAATAAAAAAGTCCACTCAGATGGAGCTCAGCCTTGACTGAATGCTGACTCCACTCCTTTGCTCCAAACATTGCAGTAGCAGCTCCTTTGACCAGATTTGCTGAACCTTAATATTGTTGTTATTCACTAAATACATTCAGTAAAATAGAGTCTAAGTTTATTTTCAGTTTGTATTTATGTGTTTTGGCAGAACCATCATCATTGCTCTGCTTGTCACTAATTATTACTAATACTGCTGGATGTTTGTGTTCAGGAGATGACCCATTCCTGGCCTCCTCCACTTACAGCAATCCACACTCCTGGGAAAGCTGAGCAGACCAAGTTTCCCATCCCAAACAAGGTTAGTCCACAGTCCAGCTCCCCTGGGCCCAACTGGAGAGGCTTAAGATGGTGTCTCACATGGCTGTGACTGCAGGAGATTAGTTTGAATCTTTCAATGCCCAACTCCTTCCACATCGTGTCCAACTCTTCATCCATATCGTACACACCACCAACCACGTTATAACTGATATCACTGAATATTCATTGTTTGTGAAGAAACTGTGACTGAAGGTAATCTGTAAAAACTTTCTGAAGGTCATTAATCTGTAGAAACTGTGGCTAAAGGTCATTAATCTGTATAAACTGACTGAAGGTCATTAATCTGTAGAAACTGTGGCTAAAGGTCATTAATCTGTTTAAACTGAATGAAGGTCATTAATCTGTAGAAACTGTGGGTAAAGGTCATTAAATGTGGTTAAGGTCATTAAACTGTATGAACTAACAGAAGGTTATTAATCTGTAGAAACTGTGGTTGAGGTCATTAATCTGTAGAAACTGTGACTAAATGTCATTAATTTGTGATAACTGTGATTGACAGTCATTAATCTGTAGAAACTGACTGAAGGTCATTGATCTGTAGAAACTGTGGTTAAGGTAATTAATCTGTAGAAACTGTGACTGATGGTCATTAATTTGTGAAAACTGTGATTGACGGTCATTAATCTGTAGAAACTGACTGAAGGTCATTAATCTGTAGAAACTGTGGTTAAGGGAATTAATCTGTAGAAACTGTGACTGATGGTCATTAATCTGTAAAAATTGATTGATGGTCATTAATCTGTAAAAAACTATGACTGAAGGTCATTGATCGGTAGAAACTGTGACTGAAGGTCATTAATCTGTAGAAACCATGACTGAAGGTAATTAATCTGTAAAAACTGTCACTGACGGTCATTAATCTGTAAAAACTGTGATTGACATCATTAATCTGTAGAAATTGACTGAAGGTCATTAATCTTTAGAAACTGTGATTGACATCATTAATTGTAGAAACTGTGACTGAAGGTCATTAATCTGTAAAAACTGTGATTGACGGTTANTCTGTAAAAACTGTGATTGACGGTTATTAATCTGTAAAAACTGTGACTGAAGGTCATTAACCTGTAAAAACTGTGACTGAAGGTCATTAATCTGTGGAAACTGTGATTGACATCATTAATTGTAGCAACTGTGACTGAAGGTCATTAATCTGTAGAAATGTGACTGAAGGTCATTAATCTGTAGAAACTGTGACTGAAAGTCATTAATCTGTAGTAACTGTGATTGACGGTCATTAATCTGTAGAAACTGACTGAAGGTCATTAATCTGTAGAAACTGTGATTGACGGTTATCAATCTGTAGAAACTGTGACTGAAGGTCATTAATCTGTTGAAACTGTGACTGAAGGTCATTAATCTGTAGAAACTGTGACTGAAGGTCATTAATCTGTAGAAACTGTGACTGAAGGTCATTAATCTGTAGAAACTGTGACTGAAGGTCATTAATCTGTAGTTAGTTGCAGTAAATATTTTGAATACAGAGTGGCTGTGTCTCAATTCATTGTCTGCATCCTCATGAGTATGTAGCCCAACTGGTCCACGTCCTTCCCAGTGCAGGTAGGCTGCATGAAATTGCTGTGAAATGAGAAGGTCTAGCCTTTGCTTGACTTATCTTTTCATGACTACACGCTACCCCATACAAATATCAGTTCATAAAATGTGTTGGGATGTGTATTTACTCATCTTTTCACTGGAAGAATAGCTTCACAGTTAAAATGTTACACATAAATAAAAACAAAAAAAGAAAGCAATAATAATTTGTGTTTAGCTCCAGTAGTAGTTGTAGTTGCATTTTTAAAACATTTTACTGCAGCGTGATTTCCATCAGCTAAGTTGCTAAACTTAGAAACAATTCTTTGGTTCGTGATGGACTTTCAAACTACGCCAACTTGATAAAAAATAAAAAGTTCACCATCTTTGTTTCTTTGTTTGGTTTACTATCAGCACACTGAACCCTGGGGTACCCTCGATCAGGAAACATACTGCATCCTTCTTTGATTTTCAAGATTCCTCAGATGTACAGTATGTGGCTGACAAATGCGCACTCATGAGGATGCAGCCCCTGAACTGAGACACAGCCAGTGTTGGGTCTCTTCAGGCCTGAAACATCTCTCTAATCCTTCCTCTGGTTCTACGGACTGATGTGGACCCGGTCTAATGGCTTCCTTTAACTTGTGTTAAATCAGTAATGACGCAGTTTTTTTTTTCTGCAGGAGTCCCAGCATGTTACCTCAGGCTACAACACCCAGAGTAAGTTTCTCCACCTCCACACTCAAAACACAGCCTCTTGTGGTGATTAATGCTGCAGAGGCTGTAAAGGCTTCAGAGAACCAGTCCAGAACCACAGGACTATGATAATGTGTCAGCCTTTAGTCTGTCTGACGTTTGTAGCTCCTAACATGGACGTTACACGAGTTCAGCTTGTTGTGAAGCAAATCAAAGCTTGAAGACAAACCCTGACAAGTGCACAAGTGACAGAGGACATGTCCTGTGTTTTATTGCAGAGCGATGTTCTGTACCAGCTAACAAGCCTGCTGCCAAACCTCCCACTGCGCCACAGAAGTCGTGAGTATCTTCCTCTCTGACACAGACCTGTAAACAGAGAATTTCTGACCCGCTCTGCTTCTGCCTCAAGGTTAAATTAAACTTGACTGTTGGCTGGAAGTCAGCAGCGGTAGGACAGAGAGCCTGTGTGGATCAGAGCAGGAAGGTGAAGCTACATTAATTTAACCTGAGCCAGGAGCTCTGGCTGCGGTCCACTCCTCATCACTCACAGAAACACAACACTGGATTCATGGCAGGATGAGACCCGCAGAGCAGACTTATCCTGGTCCAAGATCAATAACTGCATTTACAAACTTTAACATTCAGAAAGGTTTAGGCAGCATGGTGGTTTAGTGGTTAGCACTGTAGCCTCACAACAAGAATGTTCAAGTCTTTCTGTGTGGAGTTTCTCTGGGTTCCTCCCACAGTCCAAAACCAGGATGTTTAGACCAGGGGTTCTTAACCTTTTTGACCTCTGGACCCAATTTGTTCAACATAAAGTGGCACGAGGCCCAGTCACGTTATCATATGGATCAAAATGATAATTATTCCAAATCTTGGTTTAATTTGTATTGTATTTGCATTATAACTAAATTAAATACACTTACAGTTTAAAAGTAAAACTCCTGTCAAATAATCACAAGATATGATTATAACAAACATTTTTATATTATAACCTGCCCATAACAATTATTTTAACAAATACAACAGTCGGTCAACAGACCACTCAGGCTTATCAACACAAAAATAATCCATCCATCCATTTTCTGTACACGCTTCTTCCTTTCAGGGTCGCGTGGGTCACTGGTGCCCATATCCAGCAGTCACAGTGCGAGGGCCGGGGTACACCCTGGACAGGTCGCAAGTCCATCACAGACGAAGATGACATGTTTTTAAACATAAAAAACAACAAAAATAGACAATTCAATAAAAAAATTGTGATCATAAAATAAATACATTCAACAATATTTAAT